GCTAGCACCAAATCAGAGTTCGATCTGAGGACACCCACAAGACAACTTTTAGAACTCATGAAATGCACTATGAATTCTTAGTTATGCCATTCGGGTTGACAAATGCCCCATCCACATTTCAAGCCTTGATGAACGAGATCTTTAGGCCCTACCTTCGGAAATTTATCCTGGTGTTTTTCGATGATATCCTTGTGTACAGCAAATCAATGGATGAACATGCATAGCATCTTAGTCTCACATTTCAGAAGCTGTTGGAACATCAACTAGTGGCCAATCAAAAGAAATGTTTTTTTGGGCAACAACAATTAGAATATCTAGGTCACTTGATTTCAGCAAATGGAGTGGCTGTGGATCCTTAAAAAATAGAGAGTATTATCGACTGGCCTCGTCCGAAAGATGTTAGAGCACTGCGGGGATTCCTAGGATTAACCGGGTACTATAGGAGGTTCGTTAGGGGGCACGGTAAGATAACACTTCCCCTAACTAATTTGTTAAGAAAAGATTCATTCGTGTGGGGTTAGAAACCTTAGGAGGCGTTTGACGCATTGAAAAATGCCCTGACTAGTGTGTCTGTCTTAACAATGCCTGATTTTTCTAAGCAATGTGTGATTGAAACGGATGCGTCAGGGTGTGGTTTAGGAGTTATTTTAATGCAGGAAGGGAGACCTCTAGCTTTTCTGAGTAAAGGACTGTCAATTAATTCAAAGCTCAAGTCTGTTATGAAAGAGAGCTTATGGCCATTGTGATGGCAGTACATAAATGGAGACACTATTTGCTTGGTTGATGTTTTATCATCAGGACAGATCAGAGAAGCTTACATTTTCTCACTGAATAGAGGCTGTTGAATGAAGACCAACAGAAATGGGTGTTGAAGTTGCTTGGGTTACACTTTGAAATTCAGTATTGACCAAGGCCAGAAAATAAAGCTGTTGATGCATTATCCCCGCGACTTGAGAATGTTGAGAACAACGCCATTTCAATGGGCTATTTTATCGGGTTAGATGAGCTGGAAGATGCAATTCAGAAGGATGACAAACTACGCCAACTCACCCAACAGCTTATGGTTGATCCCCAATGCCACCCTCCTTTCAAATTAATGGGTAGGCATCTCATGTATCAAAACCGATTGGGGGTACCGTAACAAGGTCCTCACATTCAGAAACTCTTACACGAATTTCATTCATCCCCGATTGGAGGTCACTCTGGATTTTTCAGAACTTATAAGCGTCTTATGAATGTGTTTTATTGGGATGGCATGAAGAGAGACATCTAATCTTATTTTAACTCATGCAATGTTTGCCAACAAAGTAAATATGACGCATTGAGACCAGCGGGATTATTGCAACCCCTCCCTATTCCAGTTCAGGTTTGGGAGGACACATCAATGGATTTTATAATGGGACTTCCAAAGGTGCACAATATGGATACCATCTTGGTGGTAGTTGACCGGCTCACCAAATACAACCACTTTCTTATGCTGAGACATCTTTATACAACAAAAGAGGTGGCAGCAACATTCAGTAAAGAGGTAGTAAGGCTTTACGGGTTTCCATGGACTATTGTTTCCAATCGTGATCGAGTGTTCATGAGCCATTTCTGGGGGGAATTGTTCAAGCAATCGGGAACTAAGCTTCATATGAGTTCAGCCTACCATCCACAAACGGATGGACAAACTGAGGTCGTCAATAGATGTTTGGAAACTTACCTCCGTTGTTTTGTAGGGAATCAGCCTCGACAGTGGCCTTACTAGATTCCCTGGGCTGAATTCTGGTTTAACACTACATACAACAGCTCCACGGGTATGAGTCCTTTCAAGGCATTATATGGAAGGGATCCTCTAGCCTTATTGAAGTACACTGATCACAGTTCCCCAGTTAATGAAGTCAATTAGCAAATTCAGACCCGCAACAATATCTTACTTGAACTTAAAGACAACTTGAATAAAGCTCAAAACCGCATGAAGAGTTATGCCAATGAAAAGAGGAGGGATGTCCAATTTGAGGTGAGAGAATCCGCCTATCTTAAGCTCCAGCCATACCGTCTGAAATCCTTAGCCTCATGCTACAATGAAAAACCAAGCCCAAGGTTCTATGGCCCTTTTAGAGTCATTGAGAAAATTGGAGCTGCAGCTTATAAGTTAGAATTGCCGGACTGCACTCGTATCCATAATGTTTTCCACGTGTCACAACTAAAGAAAACTATTTTTCCACCACCAAACATTCAGCCTCTTCCGGATTCATTAAATGAGACCTGGTTTTAGTAGTCGAACCTGAGGAGGTGATTAAGACCAGAAGATTACTCAATAGTCAAAGGGAAGTCCTCATTAAGTGGAAAGGGTTGCCTCATCATGAAAACACTTGGGAAGAATATACAGCCCTTAACCTGCAGTTCCCTTCATTCCACCTTGAGGACAAGGTGGCTCTTCTTCGGGAGGGTATTGATGAAACACGTGAGGTGCTGGTCTATAATAAGAAACATAGGAAGGGGCAATAGTGGATTAATTGTGATAAATGGGCAACTAACGTGTGAGTCTGAAGAAAAAGTGGAATGAACAGGTGGCAGTAAGAGTATGGTGGATGGTGGAATTCTGTTAGGAGAGGGGAATTGAATAAAAAGGCCAGCAGAAGAATAAGAGGGGATAAAAGAAGAGAATATAGTGAAGGGGAGGTAGCTGGCCCTCGAAGTCCAGCAAACTAGTATTCAATTGTTATCTTGTTGATTAATTTCTTGTTGTTCTTAGTGTTGGGATTGAATTATCTTGAATGAGTGTAATGTTCATCATCTCAATACAGTTATATATATGAATATTGATATTTCCTTGAGTTGTGAGTATATTCTTGTGATTACCATTTTGGCGTGTGGTTGAATGAGTGAATCTGGGTAGGTTCGCATCAGTTACCCAAAAAAAAAAAAAAAAAAAAAAAGGATATTTACATATGAAAAAGAAGAATTTGTCTTGTAAGAGTAGAGAATTGGGTTTTGGGTTAGGTTTCCATAAAAGCATCTAGCAATACTCAAGGTAATTAATTATAAAAGTAAACGACTTTTTCCCGCCCAAGGTTTGCCTTAATGACAATGACATTTCCCCCCCAACAAAAAAGTTTCAAAATACTATTTTCTCACCCAAAGTTAATATTCCGTTACTACCCAAAGCCGATTATAGCAGATTCCGGTGGCAAAAATTCTCTCCATCACCACCATTTGAACATCCTGTCTCCTCTCTACAAAGCCCCTCTCTGACACCTGATTTCTCGTGAATTGTTGGTCATCGTAAAGCTAGGGTTTTTTGTTCTTAGTTGATTTTTAGCAACGAATATTCAATCGACCACTACTATTCAATCCACCAGCCTTCATTCTACAAAACCCCTCTCCCCTTGGCTCCTAGTAACTCACCGAACGTCGGATGAGAAAGTGAAGTGGATTTTTGGTGTTAACGGAATATAAACTTTGGGTGGAAAACTAGTATGTTGAAACTTGTTGGGTGAGAAAGTGTCATTAAGGCAAATTTTGGGTGGAAAAAAGTCGTTTACTCTTAATTATACATAAAACACTTAACAACTATTTTCTAGTGTCAAATTCACACCCATCTAAACACTCAATGTAATCTCCACTTCTTTTGAGATGAAGCAGTATTATTAATATTCATTTAACACACAAAAGATACTCAAAAGTTGAAAAAGTGTTGAAACCAAAAGCAAATAAGAAAGTCGGGCTGCCTTCTAGTCTAAATTTGGACCATAGAAGATCCGAAGATCTGGTAATTGGGCTAGCACTCATAATTAGGGTTACACAAAGATATGGATTGGTAACCCCTACTCAGTACTCAGAAGCCCATTTTCTTAGAAATATTGGAAGTCTGTATTATCAATTTGTTTGTTTTGTGTTTTATATATAAAATTTATTCCGTTCCATCACTGTTCGTAACATATTCATTGTTACAAGTAAACATCCCCATCCCCATTCCCATTCCCACCTTCATTTGTTCTTAAAAAGTTCATTAAGATTCCATGAATGATTTTATTTATTTATTTTTTAAAGCAAAATGTGATTATTTATAAAAACTTATAAAATACTTCATTTGTTCCTCTTGAAAAGTTTATAAAGATTTTATGAATGATTTTATCCATTTTTTGAAATGTAATAACTTTTTAGTTTAAAATTGAAATTAAATTTTAAAAAATAGTTTATAAGAAAGAGAAGAGAGAGAATACAAGAGTGTACTCTTTTAATTCTTTGCAAAGTTGGGAACCTATGTACCTTTTCGACCAAAGTAGAGAAATAGGTTTCATTTGTTTTACAAAAACAAAACCAAAAAACATTTGTCGATATGAAAAAAACTTATATGAAACAATCTTACCAAATTATCAAGTTGACATGGTGAAACCTTCCATTGATATAATGACATATAGAGTTAGTTATAATAACCATCCATTATGGTGGTGTTTATTGATGAATCATGTAGAGTAGATATTGATCAACCATGATAATAAGTGGATCAAGGAGAAATTTTTGCATATATGTGAAAGCACATCCCACTATTTTATTGAATGGTCGCACCATGTTACCTAAATGAGGTGGTAAGACCATCCTATATAAGTATTTCTCTTGCAATTATATATTGAAAAACTGAAAATAAAAACGCAAACAAATGTGCCCTAATTTTTTACTCAAGAAGACAAGAACTACTTTGTTACTCTTGATCAAAAGACAAAAAAGCTTGTACTTGTATAACATCTCATCATTGGGAATTCTCTATTAACAATAAATCTTTCTCTAACTACTAAGCTTTCTTGCATTGCATATTTCTTTCTTCATTGTTTCAGAACTACTTTTTATTTATAAAAATCTTTAAACTTGTTTCAAATCAATGAAATCACAGTTTTTATGTTCGACTACCATATCATATCATAATATCAAGAAATAAGCTGCACACCAATTAGGTATTCTATCATTGAGCAAACCCAAACCCTTCAGAATGAACAGGGTAGCTACCACACTAGTGCATGCCAAGGTTTTAAAGCAATCAACTTGAAACTCACAAAATTCTAGTACACAGCATAGCAGATTATGTCTCAACGCAAAAAAAGGGCAGAAAGCAGTTTCCGAGTTCAAGATTTATAGTCCTAGTGAACAAAACAAAGCTTGTAAGTAGAAAAAATTGGTGAAAAATTTGACCAATTCCTAGACGGATATGATATTGTTCATTGTTCACTCATTAGTGCTCGGTAGGCATGCTCTTGATGATATCCGAGTCACCTGTAGAAACATAAGATCACCACAATAAGAAAAGTTACACATTATAAGTCAAGCTAAAAAAATTTAAAAGGAAAAAGAACACAAAGTTGTCAACATACCTGCATCAATGATGCTGAGGCAGCAAACTCTGAAATATTTTCCACAAGCAGTCCCCAAGTCTACATTGTCTGACATAACAAAAGAAACAATTCTATAAGGAAAATGTATCCATAATCCAAATCAGAAACTCGAATTATACAAAAATTTAGCAATCACACCGAAGGGGAAAAAAAGGCTAGTTATCTGCTATTGGACCCGAAACAAAAAGTTTACTATCAGTAAGCTTGATAGTTACAATACAATTGGAATTCATGTATATTTTACATCTTACAAAAAGATAATGCGCAAGCAATATGGCAATACATTGCATTAACTTATGAAATCAGAAACAATTTAGCTTAGCATTTGGCAATTATCCAGTCGTAACAAAAATGGAACACAGCAATATAACCCATCAATCGTCTGAAACAAACCCAAATCTAATCCATAGAAACCGGAACAAATTATTAAATCCATCTATTCTACATAACAGTTTGTCCCCTCTAATCAAAGTTTACTAGTATTATGCATGACTTTATATGTCAAATTTAAAACTTAAATAGCCATAAATAACAGGAAAATAAAAAGAAAGCCAAAGAACAAATATACTTTGCATATGAGTAGAAGGCAATAAGAAGATTAAGAAACTTACTCCCGTTGTAGTGGTGAACCCCAACTTTAGCCAACATCGCATAGTACTCTATCTCGGACTTCCGAAGAGGAGGGCAGTTGTTGGCAATGATAACCAGCTTCGCTGCAACCCAAAAAAGGAAAAACAAAAAGGGTTCATTTAACAAATCCTCAAAAAATGAAATATTCCCATAACAAAAACTAGATCCAGTCAAAACCCAATAATTTCTAAGTTCTCATGAAAAAGAGTCACAACCTAACAACAAAAACACAGCGATTTTTCTGGGTCCACAGCTAAGAGTACAGAGATAATATAATCATCAATAAATAAAATAAAACGAAAACTCAAGTTAATAGGTTAGGTTACCTTTGGAGCTTCTTAGGGTGTCAAGTACAGTTTTGTAACCCAAAGTGTACTTGCCACTTTTCATGACAAGAGCAAGCCTGCTGTTGATGCTCTCATGGGACTTCTTCTGCAAGAGTTAGCCACAATCAACATATTTCTCTTCTTTAATTAAGATTGCAAAAGAATAAAGAAGAAAAAAGAGAGATGGAGAAGGAGATGAGTTACAGTCTTCTTGGCGGCCACCATTGTATTAAGGCACTAGGGTTCTCACAAACAGCTCCAAAGAAAAGCGAAGGGCTGTCTTCACGAGTTTCCCTATAATTTAAACAGCCCGCACCCACTAGGTTGAAATAACCACGCAATAAAATAAATAAATAAAACAAAAAACAATTGCCTAATTCATTTATAAAATTAATATATAATATTCATTTTATTCAGAATATGCAATTATAAAATATTACTAATAATATTCATTTATAATATTGAAAATAATTATGGTTTCGTTTGGTTGGATTTTGGGAATACTATTTTTAGTATTCCCAAAAAAGTTAAACAGTAAAATACCCAAAAACTCACAATATTATTCAACTTTATTCAATATTTTTTAAACCCCCTAAATTTGTTAATTCAATTAAATACCCCTAAATATTTTTAATATTTTTGTTACGGCAACTCCGGCCACCCTCCGGCGGAGGTGGCCGGCTGTCGGTATTTGAGGGTGGATTAGGGGTATTTTTGTTAACTTTTAATGTTTTATTATAAGGGGTGTTTTGTAAAAAAACAAATATAGGGGGTATTTTATTAATTTGTAAATCCTACATCGTAATACCCGCCCAATTCAACATTTTTTTAACTTTTTCAAAAAACTTTTCCCAAAAACACAAAATTGTGAACCAAACGGAGCCTATACATTAAAAATCCTAGGAAAATTCTATTGGATTTTCTTTTACAGTTGTTTTCGAATAATATCCATATATTGTGAATAACTTTTTTTTTTTTTATTTTCTTGTGTCACAAACAAGTTTTAATAATTATTTATCTTAATTTAGGAGTTTAAAGAATCAAGTAAAATAAATTTCGGGCGTTAAATGATTAATTTAATATAATATAATTTTATAATCAACTTCTTCTATAAGCATTTTTTAAAATTAATTTGTCGAACACTTTTTAGATTATAGATTAAGAAATAATTATATAGTTATAGGAGAAGCTATAACAACCCTAAATAATATTAAGCAGAGGCTGGTCATTGATTTTGTTGCAATATAATGGATATAAGATGAAAGTTGGAGATAGTTATTTTCATTACCATCGGGATTAAGAAGTTTATGTTTTATTTTAAGTACCAAACACCTTTAATAAAATAAATTGAATAAAAAACATTCATAATTTTTTTTAAAGCCAAACTTGAAAATTAAATCAAGCATATTAATTTTATTAAAAATTTATACTGTTATAATAATCTGCTGTAGATGGTTGTTATCTCAAATAGACCTATGTCAAAATTGAAAATAGGAGTGAATAGTATAGGGTGCGGTTGTTTTGTTATTTTAGATCAGATTTTGGGAATAATATTGGGTAGTTGAATAGGGTGAGTATTACGAGGTAAAATTTAAAAAATTAACAAAAAACCCCATAAGTTTGCTAATTTAACTAAATACGCTAATATATAAAAATTTTATAAATTGACAAAAACACCTCCACCCACCCACAGTGTTAGATTCTGGCCACCAGCGCCGGAATCTGGTCAGAAAATGGTGTTACGAAGCAAACCGGTTAGATCTAGCCGTTCGTGCGTCGATATGGCCTTTTCCGGCCAGATCCACCACAGATCTGGCCGGAAAAGGTCATATCTACGACCATATTTGGCCGTCGACGATCGCAAAAAGCCAAGATTTGGCATTCGCTGACAACCATATCTGGCATTTTCTGGCCAGATCCACTGTGGATCTGACCGAAAAAGGCCAAATAGGCGAATTACCGGCCAATTTTGGTCGTTTGTACGCCGTTGTGACAGATTCCAATAATCGTCGACGGTGGTTATCGGAATCTGGCAACTATGGGTGGGTGGGGTTGTTTTTGTTAATTTTTAAACTTTTTTTCAGGGGTGTTTAATTAAATTAATAAACTTAAGGGGTCTAAAATTAATTAAAAATAGAATAGTATTTCCCAAATAATTAAACAAATATGTATTTTGGGAATATGATTGGAAATAAGATAGAGAATAATAAAACAAACGCACCCATAGGTACCCGCGGGTTCATTTGTACCCGCATAGGGTAGGGTTTGGGTAAAATATTTGGGACCCGTTTAAAATCAACTTGTTTTGAGTCCATATCCGTTGGGCTCATATTCATTGGGCCCAGCCAGTACTGGGTCCACTTGGTCGTTTTACTAGGTCTACCTAAAAGCATCAAAGAATATGTTAGAGAATCTTTACAAAAGCTTCCAAAAAGTTTATTTACCAAAAATGTAGCATAATTATATTATTGGTATAATTAATTATAACCATTTATCTAATAAATAAGTATGAACCGTTAAATCTATTTGTAAACTCCTATATAAAACTAATTAGTCTTAAAGTTATTTTCACATTCTAAGTATTGTATTCGATTCAGAGTAATAAAATATAATTTTTTCTTTTCATCTTTGTTCTTTGCGTTCTTATGATTCTTGGAGAGTTTGTAAGGTATTTAAACTTAGGGTTAGATCTTCGTGACACAATGGACCGCTCATTAATAAATGAAGTGATATTTGTGCATTAAAACCCACAAATCAAGTTGGTCCAGCTCAGAGCCCCGTTAAAACCCACGAATCAACTTGGTTAAAACCCAAGCTGTCCACAATTCAAGTCGGTCAGCCCAAAGCCCCCATCTACGCATATTGCAAGGGTTTATTGTCCTAGGTTTATACAATCTGCAATTCTATAGGTATACCATCTACATAAAGTTTAATGTGACAGGGTTTATAAAATCTGCAATTATATAGAGTTTATTGTCACAGAGGTCATTTTTCAAATTTTTGTAATATTAGAATCCTATAACAGATTTTCTTATTAGTATCTATTTTTGAGATTTATTTTTTATTTTTTATTTTTTATAATGTCCGTGTTGATATTTGATTGATTAGTTCATGTGAGAAAGAAATGTAGTTTAGTTTATACATAGCTTAATCTCTTGGATTAAGAGTTGCTTTTGCTCTAATGTTTAGAATCTTGAAACCGAAAACCAAAGACGTCACAAGTAAAGTATAAAATAAAAGACGGAATACACAATTTACCCTGGTTCGTTCCTATTAAGGAACTATGTCTAGTATTCCAACGGAGAGTTTTTATTGAATATCAGAACTCTGCAGCAATTACAACGGCAGCTCACTCTCACTCTCTATTTTCATATTAGGCTTCTCACTATTAGAGCATCTCCAAAGGACTCTTTATATGACCCAAACTCTTTATTATAAAGAGTCCATCTATAAAAACAAGAGTCCAACATACTCTTTATCTATAAAATATAAATTAGAGAGTGAGTTTGACTCTCCACATTTAGAGAGTCAAATTTTATTCTCTATCCAAATTTTAATTAATAAACTACAAGTTCCTATACATTTTATTTATTAATTCTCTCTCCCATTAAGTCTATTTCTTACAAATAAAGAACATCTTCATCAAATTTAAAGAGTCTATTGGATTTAAATAAAAATTGTGTTCTTTATATTTAAAAATTAATGAAGATGCTCCTTATTTATATAAAAGATGTTCTTCAAAATAAAGAGTACTATTAGATATGCTCTTACAAAATACTTATAATAGAAAACCCTAACCCCATTTAGGTTTTACTCGAATCTAACCCGACCTAGGCCCATATATTAATAAACTAATTCTAAACCCAATTAGACATTGAGATTCTGAATAAGTCGCTATAGGCAAATAATCCGTGAAAGTTAAGAGAAGCATACCCCATATTCAACATAAAATCTATCATAACTAAGGGAGTATACACTATATTAACAGAGAACAAGGGTTTTTATTCTTACAAGCAGCAATTAAAATAGTTAAATAGCTAGAAAGACAAGGCTAAAACATTGTCTTTATTCTACTTCATTTAGTTGATGAAGAACTGGAATGCTCTGTTCATTCCTGAAAAAATTACCAGGATCAACCTTAGTCTTAATTTGCACCAATCTATCAAAATTATCCCTAAGATATTTGATGCCATAACCTCTTCCTTCCATGTAGCTCGTCTTTTCATTGTGGCTATTGATCCCCAAGTCAAGATCCCTGTAGTTCAGAAACGCCTGTCTTGGATTCTTCGACACAAAAGGAGTCATGTAATTGTAAAGTTTCCTGGTCAAATCTAAGTAGTGATTTGCTGCATCAATTCCTTCTTCATTCCAATTTGTTACATACTGAATCTTCCATAAATTTCCAGCTCTATGTGGGAATGGAATTTCTGTTGCAGGAATCTCAGCCATTTTCCCACCATAAGGGTTGAATATCAAGTATGGCTTCTCTAATTCGATCATTTTCTTCCAGATCCCCTCTAGGCCATCCTTTGAGATCGGCTCCTTCACATAGTCTGACTTTCTCTTCAGAGAAGTCAGTTTTGGAGGCTTTCGATGTAACAAAACTTCGGCAGGCGTCCCAAGAGGAAAATATGTAGACCAGTAAACTACTGACTGAATCCAACTCATTTCAATGCAATCTGATTGAGTTAACCCCAGTTCAGGAAAATTCTGATTCATGATGGAGAGGAGTCTCTCGGAATCACCGAGGAACAAGGAAACGAATGAAGCTCTTAGGGTCTTCGTCTTTTCGCCAGTTTGGGATCTGTTTATTACATCTAGAACAAGCCTGATGAAGAGATCTTCATGAAGCTTGTGTGAAACATGTTGCCAGGCATACACAATTTCAGTGGCATTTTGTTCTAGAGTTCTTTCAACCTGAAAGACAGTGACAATTTCCGGAACATGAACCAGCTTAATCTTATAAGCAAGAACAACTCCAAAGCTAGCTGCTCCCCCTCCTTTGATAGCCCAAAACAGATCTTCACCCATGGATTTTCTATCCAGAACTCTCCCTTTAGCATCAACAAATTTAGCATCGATAACGTTATCGACTGACAGTCCATATTTTCTCATCATGTTACCATACCCACCTGCAGTCAAGTGCCCACCAACACCAACTGTAGGACACACCCCAACTGGAAAGCCATGAGTTTTGCTTTTTTCAGAAATTCCATATAGTAATTCACCCAGAGTTGCTCCAGATTCAACCCAAGCGCTCTCGTTTTTAATGTCGATATCAATCGAACGAAGATTGAACATGTCTAGGAGGAAGAACGGGACGCTCGACACATAAGATGTTCCCTCATAGTCATGACCCCCACTTCTAATTTTCATCAACAGGGCATGTTTTTTACCACAAAGTATGGCAGCTTGGACATGAGACTGATGCAATGCAGCTAGTATAACGTCTGGTTTTCGAGTCGAGGATGTGTTGAAGCGAAGATTTCGAATGTAAAATTGCAATACAGAAGAATATGAGGGGTTCTGGGGATTATATATAGCTTCAGAGATTGGATGGGTGAGGTCAGAATGTTTGATAAGGCATTGGTGAAAGGTTTCAGGGAAAGTTACTTTCCAGGAAATGTATAAAATAGGAACTGAAAGCAGTGAAAGAGTTGCAGGCCTCAACATTTCAATTTAAACTAACCATATGAACAACTATCAAAATATTCAAAAATAAAAAAGTATAAATACCTTGAAAGATTCGAGACTTGAGAGAGCTTCAAAGCTTTGAGCGAGCTAAAGAAAGAAAGAGAGCTTGGAATAGAGAACATGGACAATAATTGAAGGTAGGTAACGAATTCAATAATTCAGTTTCTGTACAGTCCGGAAAATGGTCCAGTAAGGTTACTGGCAAAAAAGGACTTCGACCCTTATCAGTTATCTTATAGGGAAAGAAGTTGGCCACAGAAGGAAGAAGAGGTCCTTCTGTATCATCTTTCCTTACCCAAAAAGTATAGCACGTTATCAATAAGTCTTTGAAAGTTTTGGTTTTTGTGGCTTTTATGATGAATATAAGAGACGTTTGATATAAGGACAAAAATCCCACGTCATTAATAAATTGTTAAACTTACACTACTAAGAATTAATAAATATTTATACTTGAAATTTAATTGCAGAGAGATTTTTGTTATTTTGTAAACATTGAATGTTTGTCATTCAATCATACTTGGGGGAAAAGATGCAATTAACTCTAAGGGTGCGTTTGGTTTAGAGAATGTTGGATTACTGGCAATGTTAGATTACTGGAATATTATATTAACTTGAAGATTATTGAAAATCTTTAGAAAAATGTGTTTGGTTAGTTGGTGGGTATGTTATATTAATACGTTTGGTTAGAGAGAATAAATTGGTGGGTATGTTATTTAAATTACTAAATTACCCTTTTTTAAAATATTAATATAATATTATTTTTATTATTAATTTTTGAATAATTTTTTAACCCCCAATATTTCAGATTTAGCTAAAACACCCCTGCTTATATACAACTTTAATTAATGACAAAATCACCCCCACCCCCTGTTGCCACCACTGCAAACCACAATCGGAAGTTACCGAAAGTCGCTGTGAGTAGCTCACCGTGATCGCGAGGCTCCAATATGGCTGTTTCTGGCCATATTGATGGCTGAAAACGGCCATATCAGACCAGATATGGTCGAAAATAATCTGGCCATTTCGGGTCTGATCGATGGATCTGGCCGTTAATAGCTAGATCCTTGGCCATTATCGGCCATATCTGGGCAAAATCTGGCTGTTAACGGCCATATCTCGCTTAGATCTAGCCTGATATGGTCATTTTCGGCTGTCAATATGGCCAAAACGGCCATATCGAAGCCTCCCAATGACTCTCGGTACTTTTTAGGGACTTCGGTGACTTTTCGGCAGTGGTTAGTGGTGGTTGGCCCGCTGTCGGCGATGGTGGCTGGGTGGCGGTGGTGGTCTATCACTTGTTCTAAATATAAGGGCATTATTGTCCAAAAACTTAATTAAATAAGGATAAAATTGAAATGATATATTAATGTAAATTGATTTTAAAACAGGGGCATTATTGTCCAAATTTTTAATTAATAAGGGATATAATTATAACAAAAATAAGATTACCTTGGTAATTATTCTAAGTATTGTATTCGATTCAGAGTAATAAAATATAATTTTTTCTTTTCATCTTTGTTCTTTGCGTTCTTATGATTCTTTGAGAGTTTGTAAGGTATTTAAACTTAGGGTTAGATCTTCGTGACACAATGGACCGCTCATTAATAAATGAAGTGATATTTGTGCATTAAAGCCCACAAATCAAGTTGGTCCAGCTCAGAGCCCCGTTACAACCCACGAATCAACTTGGTTAAAACCCAAGCTGTCCACAATTCAAGTCGGTCAGCCCAAAGCCCCATCTATGCATATTGCAAAGGGTTTATTGTCCTAGGTTTATACAATCTGCAATTCTATAGGTATACCATCTACATAAAGTTTAATGTGACAGGGTTTATAAAATCTGCAATTATATAGAGTTTATTGTCACAGAGGTAATTTTTCAAATTTTTGTAATATTAGAATCCTATAACAGATTTTCTTATTAGTATCTATTTTTGAGATTTATTTTTTATTTTTTATTTTTTATAATGTCCGTGTTGATATTTGATTGATTAGTTCATGTGAGAAAGAAATGTAGTTTAGTTTATACATAGCTTAATCTCTTGGATTAAGAGTTGCTTTAGCTCTAATGTTTAGAATCTTGAAACAGAAAACCAAAGACGTCACAAGTAAAGTATAAAATAAAAGACGGAATACACGATTTACCCTGGTTCGTTCATTTTAAGGAACTATGTCCAGCATTCCAACATAGAGTTTTTATTGAATATCAGAACTCTGCAGCAATTACAATGACAGCTCACTCTCACTCTCTATTTTCATATTAGGCTTCTCACTATTAGAGCATCTCTAAATGACTCTTTATTATAAAGAGTCTATCTATAAAAACAAGAGTTCAACATACTATTTATCTTTAAAATATAAATTAGAGAGTGAGTTTGACTCTCCACATTTAGAGAGTCAAATTTCATTCTCTATCCTAATTTTAATTAATAAACTACAAGTTCCTATACATTTTATTTATTAATTCTCTCTCCCATTAAGTTTATTTCTTAAAAATAAAGAGCATTTTCATCAAATTTAAAGAGTCTATTGGATTTGAATAAAAATTGTGTTATTTATATCTAAAAATTAATGAAGATACTCTTTATTTATATGAAAGATGTTCTTCAAAATAAAGAGCACTATTGGAGATGCTCTTACAAAGTATTTATAATAGAAAACCCTAACCCCATTTGGGTTTACTCAAATCTAACCCGATCTAGGCCCAAATATTAATAAACTAATTCTAAACCCAATTAGACATTGGAACTCTGAATGAGTCGTCATAGGCAAACAATCCATCAAAGTTAAGAGAAGTATACACCATATTCAACATAAAATCTATCAAAGCTAAGACAAATATACAATATATTAACAGAGAACAAGGGTTTTTATTCTTACAAGCGGCAATTAAAATAGCTAGAAAGACAAGGCTAAAACATTGTCTTTATTCTACTTCATTTAGTTGATGAAGAACTGGAATGCTCTGTTCATTCCTGAAAAAATTACCAGGATCAACCTTAGTCTTAATTTGCACCAATCTATCAAAATTATCCCTAAGATATTTGATGCCATAACCTCTTCCTTCCATGTAGCTTGTCTTTTCATTGTGGCTATTGATCCCCAAGTCAAGATCCCTGTAGTTCAGAAACGCCTGTCTTGGATTCTTCGACACAAAAGGAGTCATGTAATTGTAAAGTTTCCTGGTCAAATCTAAGTAGTGATTTGCTGCATCAATTCCTTCTTCATTCCAATTTGTTACATACTGAATCTTCCATAAATTTCCAGCTCTATGTGGGAATGGAATTTCTGTTGCAGGAATCTCAGCCATTTTCCCACCATAAGGGTTGAATATCAAGTATGGCTTCTCTAATTCGATCATTTTCTTCCAGATCCCCTCTAGGCCATCCTTTGAGATCGGCTCCTTCACATAGTCTGACTTTCTCTTCAGAGAAGTCAGTTTTGGAGGCTTTCGATGTAACAAAACTTCGGCAGGCGTCCCAAGAGGAAAATATGTAGACCAGTAAACTACTGACTGAATCCAACTCATTTCAATGCAATCTGATTGAGTTAACCCCAGTTCAGGAAAATTCTGATTCATGATGGAGAGGAGTCTCTCGGAATCACCGAGGAACAAGGAAACGAATGAAGCTCTTAGGGTCTTCGTCTTTTCGCCAGTTTGGGATCTGTTTATTACATCTAGAACAAGCCTGATGAAGAGATCTTCATGAAGCTTGTGTGAAACATGTTGCCAGGCATACACAATTTCAGTGGCATTTTGTTCTAGAGTTCTTTCAACCTGAAAGACAGTGACAATTTCCGGAACATGAACCAGCTTAATCTTATAAGCAAGAACAACTCCAAAGCTAGCTGCTCCCCCTCCTTTGATAGCCCAAAACAGATCTTCACCCATGGATTTTCTATCCAGAACTCTCCCTTTAGCATCAACAAATTTAGCATCGATAACGTTATCGACTGACAGTCCATATTTTCTCATCATGTTACCATACCCACCTGCAGTCAAGTGCCCACCAACACCAACTGTAGGACACACCCCAACTGGAAAGCCATGAGTTTTGCTTTTTTCAGAAATTCCATATAGTAATTCACCCAGAGTTGCTCCAGATTCAACCCAAGCGCTCTCGTTTTTAATGTCGATATCAATCGAACGAAGATTGAACATGTCTAGGAGGAAGAACGGGACGCTCGACACATAAGATGTTCCCTCATAGTCATGACCCCCACTTCTAATTTTCATCAACAGGGCATGTTTTTTACCACAAAGTATGGCAGCTTGGACATGAGACTGATGCAATGCAGCTAGTATAACGTCTGGTTTTCGAGTCGAGGATGTGTTGAAGCGAAGATTTCGAATGTAAAATTGCAATACAGAAGAATATGAGGGGTTCTGGGGATTATATATAGCTTCAGAGATTGGATGGGTGAGGTCAGAATGTTTGATAAGGCATTGGTGAAAGGTTTCAGGGAAAGTTACTTTCCAGGAAATGTATAAAATAGGAACTGAAAGCAGTGAAAGAGTTGCAGGCCTCAACATTTCAATTTAAACTAACCATATGAACAACTATCAAAATATTCAAAAATAAAAAAGTATAAATACCTTGAAAGATTCGAGACTTGAGAGAGCTTCAAAGCTTTGAGCGAGCTAAAGAAAGAAAGAGAGCTTGGAATAGAGAACATGGACAATAATTGAAGGTAGGTAACGAATTCAATAATTCAGTTTCTGTACAGTCCGGAAAATGGTCCAGTAAGGTTACTGGCAAAAAAGGACTTCGACCCTTATCAGTTATCTTATAGGGAAAGAAGTTGGCCACAGAAGGAAGAAGAGGTCCCTCTGTATCATCTTTCCTTACCCAAAAAGTATAGCACGTTATCAATAAGTCTTTGAAAGTTCTGGTTTTTGTTGCTTTTATGATGAATATAAGAGACGTTTGATATAAGGACAAAAATCCCACGTCATTAATAAATTGTTAAACTTACACTATTAAGAATTAATAAATATTTATACTTGAAATTTAATTGCAGAGAGATTTTTGTTATTTTGTAAACATTGAATGTTTGTCATTCAATCATACTTGGGGGAAAAGATGCAATTAACTCTAAGGGTGCGTTTGGTTTAGAGAATGTTGGATTACTGACAATGTTAGATTACTGAAATATTATATTACCTTGAAGATTATTGAAAATCTTTAGAAAAATGTGTTTGGTTAGTTGGTGAGTATGTTATATTAATATGTTTGGTTAGAGAGAATAAATTGGTAGGTATGTTATTTAAATTATTAAATTGCCATTTTTTAAAATATTAATATAATATTATTTTTATTATTAATTTTTGAATTTTTTAACCCCCAATATTTCAGATTTAGCTAAAACACCCCCGCTTATATACAACTTTAATTAATGACAAAATCACCCCCACCCCCAGCCGCCACCACCGCAAACCACCATCGGAAGTTACCGAAAGTCGCTGTGAGTAGCTCACCGTGATCGCGAGGCTCCAATATGGCTGTTTTCGGCCATATTGATGGCTGAAAACGGCCATATCAGACCAGATATGGTCGAAAATAATCTGGCCATTTCAGGCCTGATCGATGGATCTGGCCGTTAATGGCTAGATCCTTGGCATTATCGGCCAAATCTGGGCAAAATCTGGCTGTTAACGGCCAGATCTCGCTTAGATCTAGCCTGATATGGTCGTTTTCGACCGTCAATATGGCCAAAACGGTCATATCGAAGCCTCTAGGAGCCTCCCAATGACTCTCGGTCTTTTTTAGGGACTCCGGTGACTTTCCGGCAGTGGTTAGTGGTGGTTGGCCCGCTGTCGGTGATGGTGGCTGGGTGGCGGTGACGGTCTATAACTTGTTCTAAATATAAGGGCATTATTGTCCAAAAACTTAATTAAATAAGGGTAAAATTGAAATGATATATTAATGTAAATTGATTTTAAAACAGGGGCATTATTGTCCAAATTTTTAATTAATAAGGGATATAATTATAACAAAAATAAGATTACCTTGGTAATTTTACAATACCTAAGAAAATGGAGGAAATCAGATTACCTCCAATATTATCAACAATAACAACTATTGGTAATGCAAGATTACCGGAATCTTATATTACTTGACAACCAAACATGATAATCAAGTAATATAAGATGACATAACCTTAGTAATCTTAGATTACTTCTAACCAAACGCCCCCTAAATATAATCTATAAAAATACTACGTTTTGAACCCAATCTCACAAGTCACAACTTTCTCTTACAACCCTAACGTAGCAGCAGAGTTGACACTACTATGTCAACTGATAACTTTGACTAAACACGAATGGTTATTCCTTAGAGATGAACGACCGTTCATTTATAAGGAATGATTGTTTCATTCATAAAGAATGGTTGTTCCTTTCTAAGGAACAACTGTTTAATTCATAAGAAATGATTGTTCCTTATAACTTATGAATGAACGATTGTTTCTTCATAAAGAACAATAATTCTTTATGAAGGAATGACTATTAATCCTTAAGAAATGACATTTTGTGTTTAGTCAAAGTCATTTAGTGCATTGGGTGTGTTGGGAGCTTACGTGATAGTTACCAGTCCAATTGTCATGTTGGGGTTATAAGAGAAGGTTTTGAGATTGAGTTGTGGGCGTAATATTACTTTATAATCTATCCTTTTTCATGCATTCAAATTTTGAAATGATAATGTTACTCAGCGTGATTTTGCAAGTTTATTATCAAAGTTTACAAGATTATAATGTGAATTTGTGGCAAAAAATATGTTAATAGTAATTTTTTTTCTATAAACTTATCAAATTAGTGATAAACTTGTAGTAGTAAACAATGATGTGTCAATAATTATTTTACGATTATTTATAGTATTTAACAATGACTTAAAAAAAAAAAAAATCAATGTGTGTGACGCATTATAAATGAGTTTTTCTTGAGAATTATAAAGAAAGCATGATTCTTTGTAAAATTTGTCTGACAGCAATTTTAACATTTGCTTTGTTTTTAGTACGGAAGGTCTTTTAAGCATGGGAGGATACATACGATACGACGTACTTCTAGAAAATTATTTATTTATCTAATCTTTTTATATTCTATCCATTTATGATTTTATTATTACAAATAAATATAAATTTTTTTATACTTATATGAGTTAAATTTAATCTAATATTCAACTTTCATTAGTCATATGTAGATGCGGTTTTCACTAATACAACCTTTGTATTATGAAGTTCTATTATATGAGGGTGAATCATGTAATGTAAATGAATAAGGTTTTTAAGAATCATGTTAATGGTAATATCTTTCTTTATGGTTGGATGACAAATCTTTTAATCATTAGGTTAGTTATACTTATGATTCTTGTGTTCGAGTAAAAAATATTTTACTATAATTGATTTTTGTGTAATTTCTTTAATATTTTAATATGAATTCAAATGAGTAATGAATTTTTTTTACATTTTATTATTAATAAAACAAAATTAATTAAATATATAATATCTATAATAAAAGAGGATTTTCTGACTATTTCTTAAATAAGTGATATTAATGATATTTCAAGGATGAGATCAAGATAATTAAGACCAAAACAATAATAATCGGGGTCGATATCCAGCAACTCACTGGTTTAATAATATATTTTCTACTTATCATGTCCTGATTTTCACATTTATGATAGTAGCCTGCGGCTATATTGTATAGTTCAAGCTGTAAAAATACATTTTTTGCTCTCAATTTTTATTCGTTTTATTTATATTTTCTGTTTCATTGGTGGATGTATCTTCACACCTTAAAGTTAAGAGAAGGAAAGGTCGAAAATTAAGGTAAAAATATTATGGTAAAATCAAGAATATAACTTGTAAAAATTGTCTAAATCCAATATACTAAATTATTACTCAGGATTAACATATGAAGAACAGGTTGGTTAAATGCATGACTAATTCTCTCTCCCCCCAATTAAAGGGAAATGAAGCTGAGACCAATTGAAACAAAATGATGGTAGAAATTAATCATATAAAACACCACTTATGATCCTTTGATGCTAAAATTGCAAACATTATAGCTACATAAATGAAATAGGATGAAAAATGTTTGCATTGTGAGGCGAAAAACAAACAATATTTACCTCTTCCCTTATGGTTGGATGACAAACCCTTTAATCACTAGGGTTAATTATACTCAGGGGGTCTTGTGTTTAAGTCGTAGAAGATGTACCAACCATATTATGCAATTATCTTGATTCATTAAGCTTGTAAAGTGTTCTGTGGTCTCGAGGATTAGGCATACTCTAATATAGATCTGGATACCTCAAGTATCTTAAAAAAAAAAAAAAAAAAAAAAAACAATATGATGGTGTAAATCTATAAATGTTGAAGTTATTAATGAAAATAAAATAAAATTATCATTGACCCTAATGCTTGCTCAATTAAACTATTAAACCCAGAAAGAGATTTTAATTGCATTTTTCCAAAATGTGCACTAAATGAGTCATATCATCAGAAATTTAAAGAGGTCCATTTATGACAAAGGATTCTATAAATTGAAGCTAGGAATAGGATTTTCCTTATCTCGACTTCCGAGAGGAGGGCAGTTGTTGCAATGATAACCAGCTTCGCTGCAACCCAAAAAAGGAAAAACAAAATGGGTTCATTTAACAAATCCTCAAAAAATGAAATATTCCATACAAAAACTAGATCCTCAAAACCCAATAATTTCTGAGTTCTCATGAAAAAGAGTCACAACCTAACAACAAAAACACGCGATTTTTCTGGGTCCACGCTAAGAGTCATTTTAGTTCATAAATGTAGCTAAAAATACAGAGATAATATAATCATCAATACTAAAAACACGAAAACTAAAGTTAATAGGTTAGGTTACCTTTGGAGCTTCTTAGGGTGTCAAGTACAGTTTTGTAACCCAAAGTGTACTTCACTTTCATGACAAGAGCAAGCCTGCGTGTTGATGCTCCATGGACTTCTCTCTGCAAGAGTTAGCCACAATCACATATTTCTCTTCTTTAATTAAGATTGCAAAAGATAAAGAAGAAAAAAGAGAGATGGAGAAGGAGATGAGTTACAGTCTTCTTGGCGGCCCACATTGTATTAAGGCACTAGGGTTCTCACAAACAGCTCCAAAGAAAAACGAAGGGCTGTCTTCACGAGTTTCCCTAATAATTTAACAGCCCGCACCCACTAGGTTGAAATAACCACGCAATAAAATAAATAAATAACAAAAAACAATTGCCTAATTCATTTATAAAATAATATATAATATTCATTTATTCAGAATATGCAATTATAAAATATACTGATAATATTGAAAATAATTACATTAAAAATCCTAGGAAAATTCTATTGGATTTCTTTTAAAGTTGTTTTCGAATAATATCCATATTTGTGAATAACTTTTTTTTTTTATTTTCTTGTGTCACAACAAGTTTTAATAATTATTTATCTTAATTTAGGAGTTTAAAGAATCAGGTAAAATAAATTCCGGGCGTTAAATGATTAATTAATATAAATATAATTTTATAACCAACTTCTTCTATAAGCATTTTTTTTTAAATTAATTTGTCGAACACTTTTAGATGAAGTTGGAGATGGTTATTTTCATTACCATCGGGATTAAGAAGTTTATGTTTTATTTTAAGTACCAAACACCTTTAATAAAATATTGAATAAAAAACATTCATAATTTTTTTTTTAAGAATTTATCCACAATGTTAAAGGGTGCGTTTGGTTTATTATTTTGGATAGGATTTTGGAGACAGTATTGGGTTGTGATAGAGGAGTATTACGAGATAAACTTTAAATTTATGAAAATACCCTTATTTACTAATTTTAAATACCCTAATATAAATAACAAAAAC